TTTTGCACATTGATGATTACCCTCCAGATGCTAATCAAGGATTTGATATTCTGTCAGCTGCAATAAGCTTACCCAACTTCCATGCAAGCATGTTTTTCCCTAGCAGTGAATGACTCTGTGAGAAAGTCACCCATGCTGTCTAAATTTCAGGTGATATGATCATCTAGCTGGATGACAAGTCAAGTTTATTTGATTGATTATGGATCTGTGATGCAGGAAAAGAGTCCTGTTCTCTCTTACACTGAAGTATTACTTGTACCTTTGACAACTCCTGATTTTAGCATGCCGTACAATGTCATCACAATCACGTGCACTGTATTTGCTCTGTATTTTGGGTCACTTATCAATGTACTTGGAAGAAGGGTTGGAGAGGAGGAAAGATTCCTTGAAAGCAAAGGTAACTTGTGTCTCTTGGATTGTGTTTGTTGTGACTAGAATATGGTCTATGAATGGCCCTCTCTCATGGATTACTCAATATTTACAATCTAAATATCGGTGATGGTGAATCGACAAAACTCTTAAGTTGCTGGATTGGATGCTAGTTATATGATGATACCCACAAATTAAAATATGTGCGTGGTATCCAAGACATTTTTTCTGAGCTAATCATTTTCAATCCTAGTAAATGACAGTGTCCTTCATTCTCAAACAGTTTTCAATTGTTTTGGCTTGGCTCCTGATCTTTTTTATTTCCGTTCCCTGTATTTGCAGCTGCTGCAAAAACTGGTCGTCTTTCTGAAATGGTGTCTATACATCTGCCAGGATTAGAGGAAGATCAGAGGATCCTCCCAAATCACCTTCAGATTCATCACCATTGATGAATTCTAAATTAATACTTCAAGTCTTGTTCGTGGTTGCACTTGCAGTTGCATGGTGATATTATTTTGAATGACAACACCGGAAGGTAAGTAGAATGATCTTTTCTAGCATTAAACCACGTGCTGTCCTCTATAATTTGGAAATCTGTTTTTCTAAGGATTTGGTGAGCAGATCATCCCCATAAGCATCATCACCAATCCATCCCTGATTGATTCTTTCATCCATTTCAGATGTACCTTTTCCCAAGTGAATGAATTTAAAAACTAAGGTCGTTAAGTTGCAGAGTGTACGTATCTGGAAGGAAACAGTCTATGAAATGCCAAAAGCTTTATCACATAGACAAAACCTTTCGCACATAGACTTCAATGTTAATCTCAAATTAAATCAGGAACTCAATCAAGCATAATAACGAGCTAGTGAAATGGCAAATGCATAATAATTTGAAGATTAGTCCAACCTATTGGATTTCATCCATCCTTATCGTGAGGTTTGATTGAGCATCTATATGATTTTTAGTGTTTGATAATCATATCATTAAGTTTCTTGTAAACTTTACTCTGGGTTTGTTTGATTTTAAGTGTGTTTTGTAATGCAAGGTGTTTTTTAATTTAAAATCTATAAAAAATAATATTTTTTTTTTTTAATTTTGACATTAATAAATCAAAATACCTAAAAAATCACCTCAATTTAATATTTTTTTTAAATAAAAAACAATTTAAAAAGCAATTCTAACAGCTCCAAGAGAAAACTTTTATTGATTTAAAGAAACGGTACATCAATAGTTTTTCTGAAAACACTACCTAAAAGCAAAACCATTCAAGTTGATTCCATCTCCTTCAATCTTGGAAATAAATTTAGATCGCAATTTTTTTTTTTTAAGGTTATTTGTTTTTCCTTTGTTTTTCAAGTTATGAAATAGAAATAAATAAAATAAAACTATATAAAGCATGTTTAATTCGGTTTTAGGAAAAAAAAAATATCAAGTAGTGGGACTCATGCTAGTCCACATTATCATTTAACATCTAAAATTGAATGGAGGGACATGACTAGATAACGGAAACATTAAGAAAATTAATTGATGAGAAATGATATTGAATTATATATATATATATATATATATATATATAAAACAAAGAAGCGCTTTGAGCTAATTATCCGATCTTTCTAAATTTAAAAAAAAGCTGAAAGTTTCTATATAATTCTCTACTTTTATTTATTTATTTTTGTTATTTTCATTATTTTTCTTGATTGAGTTAATTATATTTTGATGTGTGAATCCTTCAATTTTTTTATACGAGTATATCAATTTTTATTTTACTATTTAAGTGAGTATACACATTGAGTTGCAGCTTGATTATGTAGGTCTATATCTAGTATGTATACACATTGAGTTATACTTTTATTAACATTATGCATTAAATTTTCTGGGTCTGCCTTTCAACAATTTTAGAAGTAAAATCCTCAGTCATAGCATTTCTTTCTTGGTCAAACTTTCTTGAATTGCTTTTCACCATCTTGGAGATCCACAGGCCAGTAAGCATGAAGAAGGATTCTTTTGGCTATGAACCTGAAAACCTTACCCAGCCCAACCTGACATTCTGGCTTCTTGGAGAGAAATGAGGCACTTTACGAACCGGCAACTTCTCATCAAAGAAGCTTGGAGATCTTCTAGCAGTAGCACGTGTCCGTCCTGTTGTGAACCAAATGGAATGTCACCCGGTACGGCAGCAGCCAAAGCTTCATGCATTTTGTCAATCCGAGGGAGTTCACTTATCTGTGAGTATGAAATAGGACCGCTTGAGTAGTAGTCTTCTTGTGGATCTTTGAAAAAGATTGATATGAAGATGTTGGCTCCTTATTATGTATCCCTTTTAAATAAATTTTCTCCTAACCCTTTACAACAACATATTGATTTTGTTGTTAAAGGTTTTCAGATTTCACTTTGGTTTCCAGATTCTCACATGGGCATGTGAATAGATGAAGGATTTTCTAACAGATTCAAAGATTGAACACTCTCTTTTTTATTCATTTTGAGCTAAACTTGTTTCCTTCTTTAAAGTGCTGGATTTATCATTGCGGCATTATTATTTTCTGTTGCCGCCGCCACCGCCACCGCCAGTGGTTTGGAACTATTACACCAAACCAACTAGACCTATTTTCCAAGCTTTCTAAAATTGAGCAGGCAAGTGACAGGGCTCTCTCTCAATGTTTTATGCCTGTCAATGTTTTTGTGCACTTGCTTAACCCAATACATTTTTTGTCGCGAGCTACACTGCACCTACTATATATCTGATAATTGTAGTTCTAAGTAATAGTTTACCACGGTTATGTAAAAATTTGCTTGAATTGGCCTGCAAGATTTTGTGGGTGTGATCATGCAAGTGGTCTGTTTGCGTTAATGCACCTAGGCTCATGTTTTACTACTTGAAGTATCTTGGGTTCATAGATTGGCTCTCTGAATTTATCAAGTAATTGCACGCAACTAAATCATTCATGAGCTATAAGAAGTAATTTACTTCCTTCAAAATGATTGACCTTTATAATTTAAACATGCAGGAGAGGGTTGTTACGGGAACTACTTTTGTGCATGGGACTTATGGCGCATACAGGACATTGGATGGACTCTGGGATGGTGAAATGTGAGAAGATTCCAGGTGTAAAAACTCTGTATTTTTCATTTTAGCTGCTTGTCTCTCACATTACTCAATTTTCAAATGTTTAGTCAGTTCTTAATTATTAGATCGGCAGCAATATGTTGAATCAAAAAACAGGTGGACAATATGTTGCTATATATTTAGCAACAACAAAGCCTCTTGATTACATTTAAGTCATGGAAGTTCACCAAAATCATATCAAGAAATGTATTTATTATAAATAGATGAAAAAATATTCACAAGAATTCTGCCCAAAATCAAGTGTGTTCATAGCAGCGCAGCAGTTATCTTGGCATTTATGGAGGTGGCAATGAACAGTTGGATCCCAAATATCCATGCTTTGTGGAAGTGAGCATTACTTGCCTAATTGTCTGTTGGCACAGGGTATGATTTGCGTCTATGGTCAGGATGTTGAATTGACCCTAAGCAACTGCATGTTTTCCTTTTTGTGGCAATCAATGCAACTTTTTTTTCTTTTCTAAATGCTTTTCACCATGGCTACTCCATTTTTCTTTTTGTTTTTAGTAGCAGAATTATATTATATTGACAGGGAAAAAAAGAAGAGAAGAACACCATTGCTGAGATGGAACAAAACTATAAATTAAAAGGTGTACCGCTAAATATTATTTTGACATAATTTTTTTTCAAGAATACACACACATATATATCATAAACTGAACTGATTAACAGTCCTGTACTGTTTTTCGTTGTTTTGTTAGGAGTGGCCCCATTCACTCTATTTCTAGTGCTTTGTGGGTCTACTGCGTTGCCAATTTGGTTGGTTCAATGATGATGCTTTAAAGGAATCCAACTTGCTAGGTTATTTGTTATTTGTTTTCTATTGTACCTTTAGGAGAGTTGTGATTGAATTAGTGGATCCTGAAGTTTCATTTTGCACTTGCTTTCATTTCCCTTCACGAAAACACCACTCGAATTTATGTTAATGCACAATGAAAAGTATTGTCGACAGTGAGGGAAGGGAACATAGCTAGTATATTGCATATGATGTCGTGGGAAGAATTTGGTTGTTTCCTTGATTAAAGGGTGCCGACTCACTTTATGATCCAAGCCCAATGATGGTACGATGCATTAAAATTGACATGGAAATTATTCCTTGATTCATGTTTTTTAAGATGACAGAATTACATATATAGTGTTCTTTTCATTGGTTTTTATGTTGTGGCAACTAGTTTTGTTTTCACATCATTATACATTTAGACGATATATTTTTATTCATATTATTAATTTATTGGGAATTGTTTTCGAATTTTAGTGAATTGAAAAAAATATAAATTGAAGAGGAATTCCAAATAATGTTAACCTCACTTGTTTCTTTGCTCCTGTGGAGAGCTAAAACTCTCAAATATAAGACTTGTTTCATTGATGGTGTTATGATACAAGTGTTATTTCTAAAGAGTCTACTGGGATGGAATCCAGTATTTGGCAAGGGTTACGTAGAAAGAAGAAAAAGGGTTACAGTGGGAGTAGAGTGGTTAATGGCAATTCCATTCATCATGCTTTCATTATGTTTTTCAATATCCTCTCTGTTACAACTGTGCTGTATATATATACACAACTTACTTCTGGCCATAACCGTTTCCTTTTATTTAGGACTAAGAGCACACACAAGCCGTGTGCTTGAGATTGTTATAGGAACAGTCTCATTTAATGAAACGAGGCGTTTAACCATGACTATAACAACTAAAACGACTTTTTAACAATTGAAATCTACCCGCCTTTTCTTGGTTTAATTTGTGCACATAACAGGTATTCACCCTTCCAAAACGACCTTGTCCTCAAGGGAGAATTCTAGAAACCGACATCTAATTTCATCAGCAAACTCCCATGTAGCCTCAGACGGGGCAAGACCTTTCCAGTGGAGTAGAACTTGTGTAGTGGCCTGGTTACCCCTTTTTACCATCCTACGGTCCAGGACTGTCTGTGGAATGATCATGGGAGTTGAAGGAGTAATAGGCAATGTGGACTGCACTATGTTCCCTATGTGTTTCTTCAACTGCGATACATGAAAAAGGTCCATAGAATTTCGAAGCAAGTTTCTGAGAACTTCTGCGTGCTATGGATTTCTGACGATAGGGTTGTAGCTTGAGATAGACTAAGTCCCCTGGAATGAACTGTCTGTCACTGCGTTTGCGATTGGCAAGTTGTGCCATTCGATGTTGAGCCTTGAGTAAGTTGTCTCTGATTTGTGCAAGCATCTCTTCCCTTTGTGTGAGTAGTTGATCGTCAGCCTCCATTGTGGAATCTTTAGGAACGTAGGGAATGTGTAGAGGAGGAAAACCATATAAGACCTCGTAAGGAGTAGACTTAGTGGCTGTGTGGTAATTAGTGTTATACCACCATTCAGCAAGAGACACCCACTTGGACCATTGATGAGGACTGCCACCAGACATGCAGCGTAAATAATGTTCTAAGCACCTATTCACTACTTCTGTTTGGCCATCAGATTGTGGGTGGTAAGCTGTAGAGTGATGTAGATTTACTCCCAGTTGTTGGAATAATTGCTGCCAAAACTGACTTAAGAAAACCGGATCCCTGTCACTGACAATTGTAGCGGGGAGGCCATGCAGCTTATAAACATTGTCCAAAAAAACCCTGGCTACCGAAGAAGCTGAATAGGGATGAGTAAGGGCCATGAAATGTGCATATTTGCTGAATCTGTCCACCATCACAAAAATGATTTCCTTTCCTTCTGATTTAGGAAGGCCCTCAATGAAATCCATGCTAATATCAGTAAATGGAGCAAGAGGAATAGGTAAAGGCTGCAGTAGCCCTGGTGTTAGCACATTCTCATGTTTATTTCGCTGACAAATACTACATTCCCTCACAAATTGCCTAATATGTTTCTATTGTTTCTTCTAGTAGAACAAATTGCCTACTTTTTGAGCTGTGACCACCACCTCTGAGTGGCCTCCTGAAGCTGTGTCATGGTATAAGGCAATCAACTTATTATGCAGTGTAGGATTGTGACCTACCACAATTTTTCCCTTCCGGTTCAAGTGATTGTAGACCCACGTATAGTGAGGATGGGAGCTTGGGTCATGCAACAAATCACTTATAATGTTTTTGAGGCTATCATCCGATGCCCAAGTCAATTTGATTTCATCCATAGGAGTAGAAATGGAAGTCATGATCATGGTACTTAATTTTCCGCTAGGGATCCTTGATAAAGCGTCTGCAGCAACATTATCTTTCCCTTTGCGATACTCAATCTCATAATCAAACCCAAGTAATTTAGTAAGCCAAAGGTGTTGAGAAGTTACCTTTTGATCTAGCAAATGCTTAAGGCTAACATGATCATTCCTTATGCGAAAATGTCTCCCCCAAAGGTAATGTTTCCATTTAGCCACTGCTTGTAAAATTGCAAACATCTCCCTCTCATAAGCAGATAGAACCTGTTGCCTAGGACCAAGAGCCTTGCTGAGGAAAGCTATAGGATGTCCTTCCTGCATTAGAACAGCCCCCACACCAGTGCCTAAAGCGTCAGTTTCAATAACAAACAACTTGGTCATGTCGGGTAAGGCCAAAACTAGAGGATTTGTCATGGCTTGTTTTAAATTTTCAAAAGCAGTCGTAGCCTCTTCATTCCACTTGTAAGAATCCTTCTTGAGGAGTTGAGTTAAAGGCTTACAGATGGCCCCATAACCTTTGACAAACCGTCTGTAATACCCTATGAGTCCTAGAAACCCTCTCAACTGTTTGATGTTTCTAGGGAATGGCCAATTGACAATGGCTTAGATCTTGAGTGGGTCTGTGGCTACCCCAGACTTGGTGATCACGTGGCCCAAATACTCCACTTGAGAGCTGCTAAAAACACACTTACTTTTCTTAGCAAGGAGCTTCTGATTCCCGAGTATCTCAAATACAATCTGCAACTGTTCTATATGCTTTTCCAAGGTAGGGCTGTACACCAAGATGTCGTCAAAGAAAACTAGAATGAATTTTCGTAAATGCCTTCTGAAAATGTCATTCATCAAGTTCTAAAAGGTTGCTGGTGCATTGGTTAAGCCGAATGGCATGACCAAGAACTCATAGTGACCATTATGGGTTCTGAAAGCTGTCTTGCGGATATCCCCGGCTAGCATCCTTATTTGATGATAACCAGCCCGTAGGTCAACCTTAGAGAATATGGTAGCTCTGCCCAGTTCTTCCAACAATTCTTCTATAATCGGAATAGGGAACTTATCTTTGATGGTCATCTTATTAAGAGCCCTGTAATCCACACACAATCGCCAAGTGCCATCCTTCTTCTTTACTAAAACCACTGGTGAAGCAAAAGGGCTGGTGCTGTGTTGTATAATGCCAGAATCCAACATTTCAGTCACTATTTTTTCCACTGTATCTTTTTGTAAACCAGCATGATGATAAGGCCGGAGGTTGACTGGTTGGGATCCTTCCTTAAGAGGAATAGCATGGTCATGTGTTCTCAGAGGAGGAAGTCCTGTTGGCTCTTTGAAAATATCCTGGTAAGAATGTAACAATTCATCTAAAGTTGAATTTCTCCCAAGACTAGGTTGAAGGGTCATTGAGCTGATGAAACGATCACTGTCTCCCACCACCTTGAGACTGCATAGATTGACTTCAACAATCTGATTTGGACTGTTTATCAGGCTATTGAATTGTTCAAAGCCTATAGTTTGGAGCTTAACTGGAATGTCCCCTTGCAGCACTATATCTTGCCCTTGCCATACAAAAGACATCCATAATTCATTGTAATTAGATAAAATGTTACCCAATGTAGCCAACCATTGTACTCCTAGCACCATGTCATAATTGTTGAGTTCCACGACAAATACATCTGTAGAGAACTGGACTCCTTGCATTTTCCAGAGAAAATTCTTGCATACATGGGTGCAAGTCATTTGGCCACCATTTGCTGCTTCTACTGCTAATGGCCGAATTGAAGTAAGAGTGCAGCTCAATCTCTTTGCAACCTGAGTGTTGATAAAATTATGTGTACTTCCAGAGTCGATCATGATAAAGAGTGGAGACTTGTCAACCTTACTCGTCACTCTTAAGGTCTGAAAACCTGAAGTGCCCTCTAAGGCATTGATGGATATTTGGGGTGTGAAGGTGTCAGGATCAATCTCACTGCCTTCTTGGACCTCTTCTTCTGCCACATCCTCATCGCCCAAAATACATAGAGAATACACCCTTTTATTTTTGCATCGATGGCCGTGTATGAATTTCTCATCACACTAAAAACACAATCCCTTTGCCCTCTTCTCATCCAGCTCTTTATTTCTCAGGGTCTTTGTAGGTCGGAAAGGTGTGTTTGGAGATTTTTGGTGGTAGGGAATTGATTTTGCAGTGTTGTTATTGTGGTAGAGGGTGGTTTTAGTGTTGTTTTGAGTAGTGAAAGGCTTCGGTGGGTTGACATCAGTAGTGTGGTATGTGTTCTTTGAATAAGAATGATGAGGTTGTTTGTGGTTGATGGTGTTCTCTTGTAGCCTAGCTAGATTGTAAGCTTGGTATAAGGTCTTGGGTTCAAACATTTTAACCATGTTCTTAATCTCAACTTCTAACCCCCCAAGAAAAAACACTAGTGCCTGTCTCTCTGTCATCTTTGCCCTATTCCACAGAATATCAAATTCCTGTATATAAGTTTCTAGATCAGCCTTTTGCTTAAGATCTTTTAGTTCCTCTAGAGGATCTTTTTGGCCTCTAAAACGATAGCATAACGCCTTAATGTATTCACTCCACAGTACCTCAGGTCGATGCCTAATAAAGTTCTGATGCCAGTATAAGGCTCTGTCATCCATGTAGTAGGATGTTTGTTTGAGTTTTTCAGAATCATTTTTTTCTGTGATTTCAAAGTATTGGTGACACTTGAATAGCCATTGATAGACATTGTCTCCATTGAAACTAGGAAAATCACGTCGAGGTTTGTATACCTGTTGAGGGTGTTGATCTACTTCTCTGGTCCAATTATTCCTGCTGACTCCATTGGAGCATCCTGGTTGCTCATGATTAGCAACTGGTTCACCTCTTCCCAAGCTTAGCCTCTGTAAGAAGGTCTTTTGCTGGAATGTTAAGCCACCGATCAAGTCTTTGATCTCCCCAAACTTAACCTCATGGCTCTCCATTTTCTGGCCATACACTTCCATTAACTTGGTTAGTTGCTCATATTTGGCAGCATGCTCCTTGTTGGCAGACTCAAGCGTCTCCTCCAAGCGCCTTAGTTCCTGTGTTCTGGTGTCTGGAGGCATAGCTAGTGTCCAAGGTTCGCAAGCTCTGATACTAGTTGATACAAGTGTTATTTCTAAAGAGCCTACTAGGATGGAATCCAGTATTTGGCAAGGGTTACGTAGAAAGAAGAAAAAGGGTTACAGTGGGAGTAGAGTGGTTAATGGCAATTCCATTCATCATGCTTTCATTATGTTTTTCAATATCCTCTCTGTTACAACTGTGCTGTATATATATACACAGCTTACTTCTGGCCATAACCGTTTCCTTTTATTTAGGACTAAGAGCACACACAAGCCGTGTGCTTGAGATTGTTATAGGAACAGTCTCATTTAATGAAACGAGGCGTTTAACCATGACTATAACAACTAAAATGACTTTTTAACAATTGAAATCTACCCGCCTTTTCTTGGTTTAATTTGTGCACGTAACATGTTATGGGCATGTTTCACAAATGTGTATCTCATTTATATTCTAGTTTCTTTATGTTACATGGGGTCCATGACATGGGTCGTTGTGGTTTTTAGTTTGTTCTTATGAATTCAATTTTATGTGGGCAATGTCATTGATCCTTTGAAAAAGTCCAATCTTTTTTCAAATAAAATAAAATAAAATAAAACTCTGATGTGTAATTGGTCTTCAATGATTAATATTTTCAATGCAAATAGTTTGATTTCTTTGTTTATTGTTGGTGGGAAAGTATTGATTTGGTTTCTGTCTCATGTTGTTGGGTGATTTTCTTGCAATTTCGCATGTTTCCTTGCTCCCGTGGATATCTATCAACACTTCTACTTTCCTTGTCGATTCAAGGAAGCTTATTGAGGATTTCTAGGTTTTTTCTTTCCTTCACTCGTTATTGGGTGATTTTTCATTTTAGACCAAGAAATTGGAACCATCATGTTATGAGAAATAATTGAGGTAGGTGATGAGGTACTAAATTTTATGCTTAAATGTCTTCTATTGTACTTACTATTTTTAATGTGAGATTATGATTTATGTATCGTTACTTCAATGAGATTATGTTTTTACTTCAATGCCTTTGTGCTGAGAATTAGAGAACTTGTCAATAGAAAGCCATAAATTATGCCTTATTAATAGCTATTAATCAAGGCTGTATATACTCTCATAAATAGGAAAGTAGATTTAGCTGCTTATGGCAAGGTGAAGGGTTGTCACTATACGGTTCTATAGTTGCAAGAAATATGGCTGTATTACCTCTAACTGCCCTTAAATTTTGTAATTACTACAAGCAGCAAGGGCACATTATTAAGGACTGTACTGTTCATCCTTCACGCTCCAACAAAGTCTATCATGTTGTTGTTACTGGTGACTTACAACCAGCTATGCCTATATAGGTGGTCATAATGTTTTCTTTCATGATTTAATTTTCAGAGATAGTTATTAGAAACCAAGGAGGCTGCTGAGCAGTAGTGGAAATCATTGAAGAAATGACAATCTGTTAAAACATATTTCTTGTAATATTTGGCAGTAACTTCTTTCTACTGTTTGTGCATGTTTTTGGCATGTTTCAAACTATGGTTAATTTTTATACCAAGAAAGGATCTTTGGTGATCTTCAGTCATAAGGCATTAGTTTTGTCTATACTCTAAATTATTGGCATGTCTCTAGCAATGAGAAACTATTTGAAGGTTTTACAGCCTTTCAAGTTACTGCCATATTTATGATCTGCTTTCTGATAGGCCTCTTGCTTGCTGTCATGGATGCCTATATGCTGATGGGTGTATGGTAATATATTGCCCCAAAAGTTTCTGTATATTCATAGCTAACTTAGGTGGGTGACTATTTGGAAGAAAATAGTTTATTATCGTTTATTATTGCCACTTGTTGCATTAGAGGTGATAGATTGATGTTGCACTAATGTCCTGGCCTCAAACCCCATAAAAAATTATTCCTCGTGTTTTTACAATGTCTATCTGCTATCTATGATTTATTAAGATACTTTATGAGTATTAATATTAGTTTTTGTTGCTATGAAGGCAAAGGTGATGGTAAACATGTAGAATTAGGAGCACAAGAAGATCTCCTCATCCAGGATGAGATTTCTATATCTTGTCTAGTGAGCATCAAGCATGAAAGTCATTCTTTATCTCCATGCTGCATTTTGCAAGTATTGCAAAAGTTGCAACTGCTTCTTTATATATGCTTCCCTTGTTATTGAATTGTTGATTCTCTGCAGGAGGAAGAGATAATTTTGCGTGAGAGAGATCGTTATGAACTGGAAAAGGGACGGCTTATATGTGATTTGAAAAGAATACGAGATGAGGATGGTTATGTTTTAATAATTTTCAGATTTTAAATCACCAATATGCCCTTTTAAACCTTCTTGGGAAAGGTCAGAGCTTCGGCAAGTAGTTTCATTTGATGATAGAAACATTAACCTCTGCTTGTTTCATGAAAATTCATATTTACCATGACAAGAATCTAGGTCATTCTGTTGCTAATATTGGCAATTGTAAAAGCACATCCTTTTGCAGTAATTTGAAGTGAGAAATTTTGGGTAGGCTTATTATTTGGTGGAGCATAGGTATGTTGCATGCTACATGGTGTGAATGTTCAATAAAGTGAGGAAAAGAAGCAAAGTTACATACGACATCAATGAACATTTTTATTGGTGTTTGTGTCCTTATCAATAAACTTTTATTAGAGCTAATTGATATCAAAATTATGTTATGGGCTTACAGTATGTTTCTCTAGTAGCCATTCATTTTGTATTGAGTGATCTCTTCCACAACCTATGCAATGATGATGGGCATCAACTACTCGATGTATGTTTCATCATGAGATTGAGGTATTTTTCTCAATGTCACCCTTTTGAGTTTGTATTATAATGATTGTTGTTATTTATCAGGAAGGTGTAGGGGATCAAGTTTTATCTGCTTTCGTTGAGATTGTGTTGATAATTCTGATAATATATCTTGGTAATACTAGATAACCTGCTTCCTTTTCTTTTATGAGATATGGATTGTAAATAATAGTCTAGCTCTTATTATGAAAAGAGAAGGAAGGAAATTTTATATTCGCTTTTTTCTTCTTATAGCATATAAGCTTATCTTTATCATTACAAATCTTCTCCCACAATCCTCTAGGATTTCTTTAGAAGTAGTCGTTATGTGGCATAATTTTATTTGAGTAGTTTAGAAAGTCAAAATATGGCAACTATTAATTGGGATAACAATCTAGGATTCAACCATTATCCTTCCATCCATGCATGAAATTGGAAACCTTGTAATGCTTTATAGAAGAACAAGGGGGGAAATAGAGAAGTGCTCTATATTTGCAGGTATACAATTTTTTTTTTTATCTATTTTCTTCATCCCTCCCGATCCCCAAAAAATGAAAGGAAACTTGATTACTCTTTTTTTATTTGAAAGAGCTCAATCTACATGTTGTTCTTTTTGAATATTTTTATCACATTGATGTTGTCTTCAATTACTACCTCTTGGAATCTTCAACTTTATCGATCTTGGCGCGTCGCTTAAACTTAACTGTTGTCATGCTTAGTCCTTCTTCACTCTCATGGCTTCCTAAATGGGTTGGGTTGGAAGTCTCTATTTCACTTGTTTAGTTTCCACATCAACCAACTAGGACCATCTTCACTATTGATGGCCACCTTAAATAGCAAGTTGCTGGCATGGCTATTTTGTGATAGTAAATGGATTATACTCTTTTGTGGGTTAGCTTGTTAACAGAGAAAATAATATGACTGCAGAATGCTTTATACAATATCCCTTGGATCCACGTTACTTTTTCCTCATAAAGATATTGTTGCATATGTTTTGCATTCAGCTGCTATTTTCTTCTTGTCCTCTCATTTGTTAAGCATGTTTTCACCTATCAACACGTTGATAAGGAGGAATTGCATCTTCGTGGAACAATTCATTCAATAAAAGAATCAATGTTTTTTGTGCCCTTTATTTCTCACTACCTTTTACTTTGTTTCTGGAAGATCCATAATAGAAAGTCTAATAAATTTTAGGAAAACTTAAGTTATGAATTTAGTGGAAAATGGTGGCTTCTCTCACTCCAATCCATACAATGAAGCGCATCTGAATGGTATGATTCTTTGAACCTTTTGTTATTGCTTAATTTTTCTAAATACTATGTATATTCTTTTCCTATTAAAATTTAAATTTCCTTTCTATTTCTCATGGTACATAATGGATACCTTCATTGACATTGATGAAAGGCTCTGGGTGTGTTGATGTATTGAGAGAAATTGGTGGCAGACATGCCGTGAAAGTTTAAAAATTATGTAAGAGACAGGCAAGGAAGGGATAGTTGAGTTAAAAATTAATAGATATTTTTGAGGATGTTTTCAGCGTGTATAATTTTATTTTCTCTGTTAAGTAGGAAATGAAATAAAGCAAATAATTCTAGTTGTTCAGTACTTGGATGAGAGGCTGCCGCAAATGGATGAAGAGGAAAAAGATGTGAGGAAATATCATCAGCTTGAGAAGTAGTGAAAATGTCTAGAATATACTATTTGTGATACGGAACTCCATGATGCTCGACAAAAAATTTTGGAGGTCAATACTTGTTAGATGCTTGGACATGCATAAAGGTTTCTTCATTTAGTGCTTTTATGAATCTTATAGAATGTTGCCTAAAATTACTAGTTGAAGTATACAAGTAGAGGCATGCTAGTAGCTAACAAAGAGGAAAATAAATATGATCAAACTGGTCATTATAGATGTGCGAAGTCTCTTGTTTCTTCCACTGGTTGTTACACCTTATCCTTTATTTGAGTATTTATTACAAAATAATTTTGGAGTTTTGAATAGTGAACTACAAGGTGATCTTCATTCTTATTAGAAAAAATAAAATGTTCAACAGTTATTTTTATTAGGCTCTTGTTTCTAAACTATTTTTGGAAACTGAAGGATGAGTAATTAGCACTGCAATCCCGGAATTAAACGTGAAATTGATAATCTTGATGACAGAATGTGGTGAAGTGTGAATAGTTAGTTGCCATACAATGAGTGCTGCAAAAAGATTTAAGGTCTAGCATTTCTCATTCTTACTGATTGTTGGAGACTATTACTTTAGCTCCTTATGGCTTGCTTGCTAATAATGACAGTATTTTAGCATCAACAATTGGAAGATTGTTGCTTTTGCCTTTGATTTTTTTAATGTTGTGTTTTTTTTTCCATCAAGATTTATGTAGATCGTTTATCATTAGCATGAAATATGCTTTTTTGCTTTAAAGATTTTATGTGGACTGTTTATCATTGGCATTAAATATGCTTTTTTACCTTAAAAATAATGTTACAAAATAAAATCCTTTGGCCATAGTTGATGAGTGGTGTTTAAGCAATGTTAGGCTATCTTGACATTCAATTTGAAGACTATATCCAAGATCTAAACTGTATTGTTTCATTTTTTTTCCTTGAGGTGACCTTGTATATTTATTTGTCCTCTTTTCACGTGGAGGAGGTTTGGAGTAAGATTTCTTAAAATTAGCTAAGATAAAATAACTAGGTGTTGAATTGAATCCTGATGAGGAGTCCAAGGGTAGTAGAGATAGAAAGAGGAAGCAGAGGAACGATATACAGACGCGATAAAAACCTGATAGAGAAAAATTCTAATTATTTTTTTGGGATAAAGAATGTTGAATGAATGCTTTTATTTAAAGTGTGGTATGTTTTCAGGATGATGCTACGAAACAACTTGTTATTCTACAGAGAAAAATACAGTATGCCCATGAGGAGTCCAAGGACTTAGAGAAGGTGCTCTAAGATGTAACCAAAAGAAGTTTAAGCATTGAGCAGAGAGAAAGAGGAAGCAGAGAAATGAAAAATAGAAGCGATGAAAAAGCAGACAGAGCTTGAGCTTGAAGTGAAAGTCCTGCAAGAAAGAATTTGTAGACGTATATTGACACGACCGAAAGATTGATGTCTTCTCCCAAGTGCAGGAGTGTCGAAGTAATAAATAACCCGGCAAGACTGGGGTCGAATCACAAGGAGGTTAATTGTATAAATTATAGATAACAATAACATAACAACAACAATAGTAATAATAATAACACTAAATACTAATACTAATAATAATACTAATAATAATATTATTAATAATAGTAATAGTATAATAATAATAAAAATAGTAATAATAGTAGTAGTAATAATAATAACAACAATAATAAAGAAGAAGAAGAAGAAAAAGATGATGAGAACTTTGAGATGAAATATTAATGCAAGGATTAAACAATGATAACAACAAATGTCAAGATTAGAGGTTCCACTAATGGTATGTCAAACAAGTAGAGTATAAACTCTTATTATTCAATTGGAAACCACACAACTTAAGCATTATAAAAATATAAAGAGAGAGAGCAAGAGCATGATCTTGATCTGAAAACCAAGATGTCTAAATGCATGGCAAATACCTCTTTTTATAGGCCAAAATTGAGAATTATTGGTTTGATGACTAATTGATGAGTGGGTGACCAACTCTTGACTTGGTGATAATCCTTATTTTATCTTATTTGCCCAAAACATCATTGATAACATTAGAACTAGAACCACTTGAAACATGAAAGTTGTAGAAAATTGTCTCAGCTTTTCAAAAAAAAAAAATGGAGGTCATTCGAACATCTAGAACTCTGGATATGGGGCAAACACGGAACAGTACGCGGACTGTAAGATAGATTCAGACTTGTTGTTGCTACAATCTGGACTCCAAAATGCCCTTTTTAAATCTTGGTCTCCATATAAAAGTTATAGGCTTATGTCTTATCTTTCCATTCATATAAAAAGACCTCAATCCGAGATTTACAGCTCCAGATATGACTCAATTACCGAATAGTGTTCTGATTTGGATAGAATCAACATCTCTTTTCTAAGTTTGGCCATCACTTTTTCCTTTCAATTTTAGTTCTTAAATTCATCAATCAATTTATTTATGTGATAGACTTGCATTTAAAATGAACATTTACCACAAATTAAAAGTATCTTATATTATTAGATATGTTATTATAAAACACGCTTTAGTTAAGGAGTTATTTGATACTTCAAGTGCAAAATAATGATATAAACCTTGATAAAAATACACTTTTAAGTACTAATCACGTATCTAACCCAAGGTATCAAACTCTAACAAAAAGAAAAAATCTAATTAGTTTTTAGGGATAAAGAATGCTTAATGAATGCTTTATTTAAAGTGTGGTATGCTTTCAGATGCTATGAAACAGCTTGATGTTCTACAAGTTCTTAGCTTGATATTCTATAGTTAGAAATACAAGATTGTTTGAATGATCTTGACAATATTATTCCTTTATACGAATAGTAAGTTACAAAGGAAAATGGTATCATGAAGATATAAGCTTGAAAATTTTCAAGTTTGTGCATGCTTTTGCTTGGTGTATAGTGCTATTGTTTTGTCTGCCCTTAGAATTGTTGGATTACTTGGTGTTAGTATATATGTGTTTCAGTCTTGACTAGTATTTAAAGGGAACATGCCAAAGATTAGATTACATTTAGATTATATTCAGGGTAACCTGCAATTCCATTACCTCTGACATATAAACAAGGCCTTGGATCAGTTATGATGTCTAGTTAGTAAAAATTGTTTGCTGATAGATTTATTCATTTAAAAGTTTCAGTTTCCATTTCTATTTTTGTTTCTTTTCTTTTTTGAATTTCTTGTTTTCCTTTGTACCCACTCCTGAAGTGTATTTTTCTTTCTTTATATTGATTGTCTATGTTAAAAAAAAGAAGCATTTTTATATGGTAGATGAGCTTTTGCTATGTGTAGTATCTTTCTTTCATAAATGATTTTTTGGCAACTTGCTGTATAATAGAGCATGAAAAGCATCTTAGCATTCTTTATCAAAAACAAGTTTGGGCAACCTGATTTTCCAGCAAAGCTGCCCGCAACAAATGATTGCAATATGAAATTGATTGTGGCTTGATCCATTTAAAATGGGCTATCTGTGCTTTCGTAGTTGGTGTTAAAGGATCTGACAAGAATTGTTTTTTCATTGTGAGTGATTGTGTCCTTGATTGTTTTTTTGTTGGTGTCCTTTTCAATAAACTTTTATTGAATTTAATTGATATCAAACTTATGTTATGAGCTTGCAGTATATTTCTTTAGTAACCATTCATTTTGTATTGAGTGATCTCTTCCAAAACCTACACAAAGAATGATAGACATCAACTACTACATATACGTTTCATCATGCACTTTCACATTTTTAATTAATGAGATTGAGGTATTTTTTAAATGTTAACAATTACTGTTATTTAACAGGCAGGTGCAGGGCATCAAGTTTTGTCTGCTTTCATAGAGATTGTGTTTGATAATTCTGACAATCGCATCCCGGTAATACTTTATAACCTACCTTTTTCTTCCTTATGTGTGGAGAGTAAATAATGGTTTAGTTCTTATTATAAAAGGAGAAGGATATCACCCTTTTAAGTTTGTATTATAATGATTATTGTTATGTGACAGGTAGGTGCAGGGCATTATGTTTTATTTGCTTTCATAGATACTATGTTTGATAATTCTGACAATTGCGTTCTGATAATACTTCATAACCTATTTCCTTTTCTTTTTGATGTGTAGAGAATAAATAATGGTCCTGATCTTATTACAAAAGAAGGATCCTAATTTATATGTTTATTTTTTCTTCTTCTAACATTACAAATCTTCTTTATCATTACACAAATCTTCTTTGAAAATGCTCTAGAATTTCCTTTAAATTATTTGTTCTCTGATGAGGCTTAATTTTATTTGAGAAGTTTAGAAAGTCAAACTGTGGGCACCATTGATTGGGATAAACAATCTAGGATTTTTCCCCTATCTTTGCATCCGTGCATAAAATTGGCAAACTTGTAATGCCTTACAGAAGAACTAGGGGAAAATAGAGAAGTGCTCTCTATATTTGTAGAATACAATTTTTTTTTCCTTTTTTCTTCGTCCCTCTCAACCCTAAAAAGATGAAAGGAACCTGATTACTCCTTTCTTATTCACCGTTATTTTTTTTATTAGGATGTGTTGTCTTTAATTACTACCTCTTGGATTTTTTAACTTAATCAATCTTGGTGGGTCGCTTAAACTTGACTACTACCATGCCAAGCCCTCACTCGCCTGGCTTCCTAAATTGGTAGGGTTAGAAGTCTTTATTTCCACTTGTTTAGTGTCCACATCAACCAACCAGGACCATCTTCACTGTTGATTACCACCTTAAATAACAATATGTTGACTTGACTATCTTTGTGATAGTAAATGTTTGCTACACTTTTGTGGGTTAGCTTGTTATTGAAATTTATATATTGTTATGTGTGCAAGTCATGAGAGATTTTTGTAACAAAAAAATTGATCGATGCTTCTTTGTTGCTATTTTATTTTAATATGACTGCAAATTGCTTTATTCAATGTCTCCTGGATCCATGTTACCTTTCCTTATAAGCGAAATTGTTACATGTGGCGTGCATTCATTTGGTGTTTTCTTCTTGCCCTTTCACTTGTTAAGCATCCATGTTGCCTTTCACAACTGGTTAGTTAGGAGGAATTGCATCTCCATAGAACAATTGGTTTGAAAAAGGATGAGTATTTTTTTTGATGGAAAGCACAACATGTTCATCTGTGTTCTTTATGCACTCTATTTCGTGGCCTTTTCCTTTGTTTCTGGAAGATCAATGATTGGAAGTAATAATTTTTAGTAAAACTGAAATTATGAATTTACTGGAAAGTGGTGGGTTCTCTTGCTCTAATCTATACTATGTAGAGCAGCAAGGGAAGTTTTGATTCTTTGAACCTTTTGTTATTGGTTAATTTTCCCAAAAATTGAATATATTATTTTCCTACTAATTTTAAAATTTCCTTTGTTTCTCATGACATTAATGAAAGACTCTAAGTGTCTTGATTTATTAAAAGAAATTGATGGCACTCAAGTGTATGAAGAGAGATGTTGTGAACGAATATTTGATTCTTTGAACCTTTTGTTAGTGCTTAATTTTGCTAAAAATTATGTATATTCTTTTCCTATTGATTTTAAATTTTTTTGTGTTTCTTGTGACACTTAATAGATAGCAATCATTGACATTGTTGATAGACTCTAAGTGTCTCGAGTGTCGGATGTCGTTGAATGTTTGAAAATTATTCCGGAAACATACAAGGAGGGATAATTGAGTTGGATTTTCTTTTCTTGATGGTTTTTGCAGTTTGTATAATTTTATTTGCTTTATTAAATAGGGATCAATAGAAAACAAATAATTAAGTAGTTCAGTACTTGGATGAGAGGCTGAAGGAACAGTATGAAAGAAAAGGGAGTTGAGAAAATATCAGCTTGACAAGCAACGAAAATCTCTAGAATATACTATTTATGATAAGGAACTCTAATAAGCTCGATAAAAATTATTGCAGGTCAGTAGCTATTAGATGTTTGGACATGTGTAAGGTTTCTTTATGTAGTGATTTTATGAATCTCGCAAAATCCAAATTGTTAGTTGAAGCATAGAAGGACCACCATGCTGGTGACAAGATGGAAAAGAAACATGATCTCATCGGTCATTATAGATGTAGTGAGTCTTTTATTTTTTCCACTGGTTGTTGTACCTTGTCAATGTGTGTATTTATTACAAGATAATTTTAGAGTTTTCAACAATGAACTGAAAGTTGAGCTTAATTCTTATATTAAAAATAAAATGTTTGACAGTTATGAAATTCTTTATCTTGTTTCTAGACTACTTTAGGAGACTGTTGGATGAATAATTAGCACCGCAATCTAAGAATCAAACATTAAATTGACAATCTTGAGGGTAGGATGTTATCGAGTGTGAATGGCTAGTTGTCATACAATGAGTGCTGCATAATTTAGGTTTAGTATTTCTCGTTCTTATTCATTGTTGAAGACTTTTACTTTAGCCCCTTATGACTTGCTTGGAGATGGCAATGTGTTTTAGCATTGACTAATAGAAAGACTTGTGCTTGTGCCTGTGATTTTTTTATGCTGTGTTTTTTTTTTCCTTCAATATTTCTCTAGACTGTTTATCATTGGCATGACCTATGATTTTTTTTTTTTGTAAAAATAATGTTACAAAATGGAAATCCTTGGCCATAGTTATATCAAATGGTGTTTAATTAGTGTTGGATTGTCTTGATATTCAATTTCAAGATTCTATCTAGGATTTAAATTGTATTGTTTCATTTATTTGTCTCCTTCTAGGTGAAGGGGGCTCAAAGCAAGGTTTTATGAAAAATTTGCTAAGATATGATGAGGTGTTGAATGCCTATGAGGAATCCAAAGACTTGGAGAAGGTGCTTAACAAAAGAAGTATTAGACATAGAGAAAGAGGTAGCAGAGAAACGACAAACAGGAAGCGATAAAAAAGCAGACAGAGCTTGAGCTTAATGTGAAAGACCTGTAAGAGTCCCTAGAGTGTATTTTCTTTTCTTATCTTGATGGTTTTGTCTATGCCAAAAGAGCACTTTTATGTGGTAAAAGGACTTTTACTTTGTGCAATATCTTTCTTTCATAAACAGTTTTGGCAACTTGCTAATGGAGTGTGATAAGCAGTTTATCATCCTTTATCAAAAAACTAGGTTAGGCAACCCATTTTCCAGCAAAGCTACTCATGAACAAATGCTGTAAAAGAAAAATGATGATTTACAACATTTTTTTTCTTCAAATTTGGTTTAGGAAAGAGTTCAGATTAGTATATTATGATACTTTTACATCAATGCAGATGTATGCTGGTGTTGTCAAAATCTTTCTATAGGTGACACTTTCTTATCTCATGCTCATCATTTAATTAGGAAAGGACTATGCCCTCTTATCAGGTAATTCCATGATCAAAACACAATGTTAAGGGTTTTTCTTTTTTATTTTTTTTGAATTTTTTAGGTATTTTTAGTAAATTGGACTTAACAAGAGCTATATCTAAAGAAATGATTAGCCTCTCTATCATATTATTTGTTCAAGTTCGCAGGACTCTGAATTGTGAATTTGCTTTATCATGTTATGACTAACTATGAATTTGCTTTAGTCTGAGTTTAATTTTTTTATTCTTGGCTTTTAATTTATTTTTAAAGCCTTATTTCTTGTAATAATTATTTTAAATCTATTTATCTTGCCTGATTTTTCATCCAATATTTATGTTAAAATCCTAAAAGATGATGTTTTGGTCTTGCCTCTAGATGTACTTTGGTACTTACTAAGATAAGTCATGTTTGCATGCTTCCACTTAAGCATTCATCTTTTGAGAAGTGATATGCTCTCTTTTATTGGAACATATAGATATAAGTGGAGTGTGAAAGAGTTGTATAAAATGCTTCATAGGTGCAATGAGCAACTTCAGCAGTTCAGCCATATAAACAAGAAGGCACTAAATCAGCATGTAAATATCATTGAGAAACAGGAGAAACTCTAGAAAAGTCAAGTTGCATAAAATCTTATGTTGTACTTATTGTTTTTAACATGAGATTATGATTTATGTATCTTTAATTCAACGAGATTATGTGTGTTTTTTTTTTTACTTCAATGCTTGGGTGCAAAAAATCATAGAACTTATATTTGTGTGAAACAATGAATCGATATATCATACTTTCAAAGAGTTGCTGAGTATTTCACTGAAGTATTCTTTGAACTTGTGCAAGGTGGTCATGGTCATTTGGTTATGATGAAGAAAAAGGTTAGTTAAAGGAGCCTTTTATGTCTTTGTTTCATTTGTTCCTTTATTTACTTGTATCATTTATTTTTCCTTTGCTAGTCTTAATTGGCCTTGATGTTTTTCCTTTGTTTTTTTATTTTTTTTCCAAGTTTAATTAGTATATTTTTTAGGAAATTTTGAGATAACCATATGAGTACATTTTAAAGATTCATATCATACATTTGTGGTCAATCTAGATAGCCGTTGAAAGAGTTCTATAAATTTTGTGGTATCTTGGCAAGATGTTGATCACGAAGATGATAATTGAGATGATAATGGATGTCATGAAGCAAATCTGGAGGGAAATATGTTATTGTGAAAATAAAGGTATGAATATGTTATTGCTATGTTCTGTGTTTATTTTTTTGCAAAAGAGGAGATAAAATAAAAAAGGATATTATGTAACATGATGATTTAATTGCTCTCTTTCCAACTCAATCACAACTTATTGATCAATGTTTTTGGATATCATCAACCATTTGTAACCAGAAAGGAAATGGACATCATTCAACGAGGAAAAAATTAGAAAAGAAATTTTATTGTAATGTAAAATTTTCTATTTAACTTCTAGGTTGCTAAACTATGCTAGTTGGTTGTGACTATAATTGGTTGATGGTTGTAAGAGAGGTTCAGTAACAAGCTCATATTTTTTTGGTAAAATGAAATATGGTTTTAGTGAGTTTCTCCAATTACATTTTAGTTTGAAATCTTATTTTGCAATGACTTTCTTATATTTTATTAAATAGAAGTATACTTATATTTCTTTTTTTCTCAAAACAAACCCATCATTGTATTTAATAACACTTAGTATTCATTTAATGTTTATTATCATAACCATGAGAAGAGATTGCAATGTCTTGTAAATGATATCATGACAATAGTTATGAATATTAATTTTCTGTTATGCTTGAATTGAATTTGGTTTGGAGCCCATTTATCATTGTTCCCATAGATATTTAGGTGGCAAGCTTTGTTTTGGAACTCATTGTTGCTTATTGCATTGATAAATTTTTGTAATTAATTGTAGGGAACTAAATTTGTTGTCTAGACCCATTATAATTTGGGTGCATAGGCCCCTAAAAGACCACAATTCGAAATGCTTGTCATACATATTGAACTGTTATTCTACAACTTAATGTTGTGTGATTGATACTTAAAAGTGTATTTTGATCAAGGTTTTATATCATCATTTTGCACTTGAAATATCAATAACTCCTTAACTAAAGCATGTTTTATAATAATATATCTAATAATATAAGATACCTTTAATTTATGGTAAATATTCATTTTAAATGCAGGCCTATCACATAAATAAAAGGATTGATTGATGAATTTAAGAACTGAAATTGAAAAGATTTTCTACAACTATCATGTTTTCAAGTGGTTCCAATTTTGACATTATCACTGACGTTTTAGACAGACAACAGAAGATAAAGATTGTCACCACTTTGGCCCCAGCTAATAATTGACATATAACTGATTAAATTCAACAATGCGCTGCATACCAAAACATTTTGAAAGTTTAGAAAGAATAAAGCTGGGAAATGATTGTTCAATGTATCTTTCTCTTTTGACTATCAGTTGGATGATGCTGGTGAAACAAGTTACTCTCTGCAAGATCAATCAAATATCAATGCTGTTTGGGCTTCACTTATAGTGGAGGAATGTTCTCGTCTTGGTATAATGGTGAGCAAGAATTTTCATCTGTTGAATTTCTATTTTGTTCCATATGTCTGATTGATACTTTCTTTCAGTACTTTTGTGTAGCTCCAGGCTCAAGATCATCGCCTCTTGCCATTGCTGCTTCCACTCATCCCCTAACAATATGTATTTCATGCTTTGATGAGCGCTCTCTTGCATTTCATGCTGTTGGTTATTCAAAGGGGTCTCATAAACCAGCAGTCATCATAACATCATCAGGCACTGCAGTTTCAAATCTTCTTCCTGCTGTGAGTTTCATAGAAGAAGCATAATACCAGAAGCTTAATTTATTGGGAGCAAAGGGCATTTCACAGTCCAATGATTTTGCACTTATTTACTCATTTTCCTAATATGCATAAAGCATGTGTTAATTCCATATCATCTTTTAGGCTGGCTCAACCTTTCAAGTTTGTGGTTGTGAGTTATTATTATTGTTTATAATTGTCATTTATAATTTGTACAATTAACCTCCCTGTGGTTCGACCCCGGTTTTGCTGGGTTA